TGACCAAAATCGGGACCCAGGCCGGAGAAGAGAAATTCGGCTCTCGGCCGCGGGGAGATGCCGCCCGGAGCGGTCCGCGACCGCCGGCCCAGCACCGGGGACCCGCTCGAAAAACGGGTTGCGAGCGGTGCAGGGGACAGCGAGAGGCCGGGTGGGGAAGGGCCCGGCTGTGCAGGGAAGAACCCCCCAGCCAGGACGAAACGCCGCGCGGAGCAGTAGCAACCCTCATTCAAGCAATTTCCTCTTGGTCTTGTTATTCCCAATAATCGCAAAATTACTAGTCCGCTGTTCGATGCTGTTGCGGCGGCGGGATTGCGGGATCCAGTGCCCGCGGTGCGGGTCTCGGTGCCGGCCCCTCCCGGCCGCGCATCTCCCGCAGCCGCGGGCGGAGCGGATGTTTGCGGGGGCCGAAAGCGAAAGGCAAGGGCTGGGGAGGGGTCGCAGAGTCAATACGCGCTGAAGACACAAACTTGTACCGCGAAGGCGCCTGGTTTTTACACCCCTCGGAGCCGATGCCACCATATATATATATATAGGTACACATATATGGTTTGGGGTTTTTTTTTAGTATATATATATTTTTATATATATGCGCCCCTCTTAGCTGGACTGGAGGCTCGGCGATGTTGGTCCACACATATATCTAGACATATGGATATATGTTTCTGTGTATATTCACATATGCATATATACAGCCTCGGCGGTTCCTTTTAGAGAACTTTGAGTGAACGATCCTGCCAAAGAACGACCGGGCCGAAGCGGTCCGGGCTCTATCGATCTATCGCTGTGTCTGGGTTTCTCCACCTCCCCTTTGCATTTTTCCCCCCGGACATTTCCCCTCGCTGTTTCGGCCGCGGGGCAGTGGGCTGAGCATGGGAGAAAACGGCAACCTCGGAGCGAAGGCCCACCGCCCGAAATATCCACTTCTTCTTTTCTTTTTTTATTTTTTTTTCTCTTGGCAATTAAACCTGGAGTGACCAAATCGGATTACAGAGATTCTGTTTTAAACCTTCAAAGAGTAAACACCCATCTGAAACAAGGGAAATGAGTCTGAAAGCATTGTCCTAATTGAGTTTAAAACAAAACAAAGACCGTGCATTAACACTGGTCGAATATTTCAGGGAGCAAATAAAACTAAAATATGAGTTTGCAATTAACATGATTTCGTTCTCCCTCTGTGTGGAGATGTTTGGGTTTGATGTTCGGAGATTGCAGATTGCAAATCTAACCTTAATTTGCTATGAGGGCCTTCCTTTAAAATGTCTAGGAGCCATAATTAAAACTATTACCCTCATTTTCAGGAAATTCCTGTCTGGAAGCACCTTCCGAGGAGTATATTACAGGTTTTGAACATGTTGGCTTTCGCTTCCTATTTATACAGGATTCTTTTTATTATTGTTATTTTTTTGAAATAGACTCTGCCATCCGTTCCCCCACGAAGTTTCCATCCTTGAGACCGGTGTTTAATAATAGTTGCGCCATTTCTGCGCCGAGAGGGGAGGCCCCAAGAGCGGCCCCCCGCCCCCTCCT